ATCCAGTGACCATGAGGACTAATATTCATTTTCCAAACAAGGGTTCCAATACTACAGGTACTCTTTCCTCAACCCCTTTACAAAGAGAGATCTATCCTCCATGACCGCCATCATAGTGATTTGAAAGATTTAAACAAGCCCAGGTTTATCCTAAACCTTTTATTTAAGTTTTTGATAGAGCAGGAAAGGGTTCAGGCCCCTGTCAGGTTTTTACTGTCATCTGGGTGTTGGGGAGACTTCCCCTTACTTCCTGTCAGGACGTGATCAGAAATCTCTTCAACAGAGATGTAGACTCTTGTCCTCAAATCTTAGGGACAAGAAGTGAGGACTAATCTCCCCAAGGAGGTCAGAGAGAGAAATAAAAAAAATTCTTTAAGTCTTAACTCAGCAGTTGCAAATCAGGAAGCAGAGCAATATCAATGAGCCACTGAGAGTTCCCTCTAGTGGCTCATCTACAACTCTACAATTATTGCAATACAGGAAGAGAGAAGAAGAAGGAAATCTCCCCAATGGGGTCCCAAGCAGGAATTAGAGAAGAACTCCAGTCTTCCACAGTTGTACAGGCTCCCCCGTCTACTAAAGCTTCTCACAGTTTGCATTAGAAGCTGCACCAAGTAACATTTCCTGGCTGGAGGATGCCCAGCATTATCTAGCCCTCCCCCTTCAGCCAGAATATCCCTGACCCACACCATTCATTCATTGGATTTCAGTTCTTTCAATCATGGAGGCTCAGCATCATATGTGGGCATTACGTAAGGGCACAGAGACCAAGTGATGACTTCACGAGGTCTACCTTAAGGTATGTAATAAAAACAGAAAGGTTTTTTTTTTATATAATTTTATTAGCATGTTGATGGGGGGGGGGGGTGTCAGGGAGGAGAAAATATAAGCAAATTAAGCTTCAGTCTTAAAAGCCAAATACAAAAATTGAGTATTTTCTTGCTCTATCTAAAACTTAAAAAAAAAAATTTAAAATTTGCGCAGTTGAGTATTATAAGGGACTTATCAAAATGGCAGTTGCTGGCTTATCTTTGAAAGTGCGGGTTCCATGGCACTGTCTATAGTGTATAAGATTTCTGGAAATTTTTAAGCCATAGGAAAAAAAAATTTCCCGCTTTTTTTTCCAGAAAAAATGGAAATGTTTAGAAAAATTTAAAAATTCAGCGTGCAGCAGTTTTAAAAACTGAAAGCTTGGGAATGTGAAATGCAATGTTTATAAAAGTAATATGCTTAAAATAAAACTAAACTTGCTTTTTAAAGCTTGTGGTGATCAACAAATAGCAAAAAGAGGGTCTCTGGAATGAGAAGTCTGGAGGGAAAAGCTACTTGCACCTGCATTATGGTCCTCATCTTTTCATTCCATAAAGTATTTTAAATGTCTTTAGGGCATGCATGGATGTGTTTTGTCATCCTTGTAGCATTTGGAAAAGAATATTTCTTTCACAATATTTGCAAAGCAGCTTTGCTCTGAGCAGAAATTGCACTGTGGAAATGTTTCCAAAAGCTAGATGTTGGTCTCACCATTTTACTTAGAGGAGGAAAAGTAAAACCAATTTACTGAGCAGACTATAGGTAAACATTATGCTGTGGTGGTGGAGAACATTAATAGGAATCAATTAAAGGTTATAAAGTTAAACTAATTTGTCAGACAAATGTACCCTCTTACCTGTCAATTAAGACCTGAGAGTACAGAAACTATCATCTACTGTATCCCAACAATCCCCCAACTGTAGGAGGTACAAGATGGAGCTCACATGCAAACTAAACTGGAGCTTATTTCCTGCAGTGTCTCTAGTGACAGAAATGCATATTTCTCTTGTTAGAACTGGATGGAAATGTTGAGTGTTACTTGAATTGTATTCCAGAATTTGCTTGTGTTCAGCAAAGAACATGCAATAATTTAAGACTTCACATAAAGTCTTCATGTTATATAGTTTGAATACCATGTCATAGGTATATTATTTGTCATTGTAAAAGAACATATTCCACACTCCTTTAGTATTTTTATAATTTCCCAAAAACACTTTGAGAAAAAAAACTATTTTTTCCCCCAAATTTTTTTTTTTTGTTTCCAGGTCTTCCCATCTTTAATAGTGGGTCACAGACCCACAACAAGTATATGCATGTAAGTTATTCCAACAAAACACTAAGCGCATGTGTGTCCTGGGCCAGTGACTCATGAAGTAGAAAGGGAAGGGAGTCTGCACCTTAGAAAACAGATCAGCAACGGCAGTTCCCTTTTTTTTAAATAGGCTTCCTTTAACTTTTATTAAGCAGCAATATAGGTGTGATTACAAACTGAAGGCCAAACACCTTGGTCTGCCCATAAAAGTGAGATTTTGGCTGGGGCCTGCCCATAGATGTGAGATGTTGGCTGGAAGTTTACTACCTCATCATCATCCTTCCAACATGTATGACCATTTTGGCCAAGCCTTTCTGCACTGGACCAACGCTCCTTGCTCCCTTTCAACACTGGGTAGACACTTTTGCCCCCACCTCATATATGGTAAAGAACAGAAATCAGGAGGGATCATTTTGGTAAGGATTTCTGGCACTGAGCAGACACCCCTGGTCCCCACCTCATATATGGTGAAGAACAGAAATCAGGAGGGATAATTTTGGTCAGGATTTCTGGCACAGTGGGCAGACACCCCTGGCCCCTGCCTTATACCTATGGTAAAGAACAGAAATCAGGAGGGATTATCTTGGCCAAGCCTTTCAGCACTGGGCAGACACCCCTGGCCCCCACTTTATATATGGTGAAGAACAGATATGAGAATGAATCTTTTTGGCCAGGCTTTCTGGCACTGGGAAGACACCCCTGGACACCCATTTTGGAAGATTGATCCTTCTTTCGGAGATCACCTGACCATGGGGTGTTTCCCACGACTACCATAATGGGCCAGATAAGGTGAGAAGAATATCATGTCTACACTCACCTTTAGTAACAGCCTGATTAACTAAAATACTGTATATGCATACATGTGTAGGAACACATGTGGGCATGGAAGCAGATACTTAAAGACGAACTCCAGGTAAAACCAAAAACTGCCAGTATTCTGGACATATTGTTAGCATAAGGAGAATTTGTTTAAGTTACTTTTTTGGTCATCGTCTTTTTTCAATAAACTGTGAGCAAAGTGCCTTTGCTGAAGGTTTCAATGTAGTTTCCAGCAAGTATAGGTGAATTTACAATGCTACAATTTCTGGATGATGGGAGCAGTCAATATTGGGTTGAGGAGTGAAGGCGAAATATTGGCTAGTGTGTTATCTGCAACAGACAAGCACCAAGTTATCTGAGATAGGGTTCATATTCTGCTACTAGCTCAGAACTTTTTGAAGCTATGAAAATTTATTTACAACTGAATTTTGTGTAAGGCCCGGAGTCCTCTTTCAAATGCAAATGTTGATCTATAGTATTGGAAGGGCCTTGGTCTACCATTAGCAGTCCAAAAAAATGAAGTTGTGAAGGCAACGTGAAAGGTTAAAAGACAGAGCTGCCGATTCATCCTACGAATGCTAAACAGAATGTAACAAATGCACACAAAAGAATAAATAGTTATATGGTCATTAGCATAAACAAACACAGAGTATTATAAAAATAAATACCACCACTTTGAAGTCATTTTCAGTCTATAGACTCAATATAACAGTTGACGTTAGGAATTACAGAAACTGTTGCCAAAGATTAAAGAAATCCTCCAAGTTTGGATAAAACTGGACCCCTGCAAAAGGCAACGCCATTCAGAGAAGTCTTTGCTTCTCACACAGGCTGGGTTTTCCTGGATTACAACCTGCACTCTTGGACTGCCCTTAGAACACCACCTGTCAATAATGCCTCACACTACTGCCAAACCATACTGATATCACGGATCTCTATGATCACTATAATCGATGTTATTACTTACAAGGGTGGTGTCAGAATGGGGATCTCTTCAGTAAGTACAGATTCACTTTTAAAGTAGAGAATCCCTTTAAACTGTGTTGGGCAGCTCAGAAGCATTGATGTAGCTATAGTGTGGCATGAGGCAATTGTTCATCCATCCAGTACAAAGTCTAATGGATTAGGAACTAGCGATATTGCTAGATTCTAATGTCATTAATTTCCTTATTTTGCTGATCACTGGTTCTCTGGCTGGATTCTTTGTTGGGGCAGCATACAAAATGGCTGCCAAATCAAGGACAAAAGCTACATACACGTTCATCAGCCATCCAAATGCTCATTGTTTTAAGTCTGTGCAGGCGTTCCTTTAGGCAAGAGCTAAAAAACCACCAAAGTGCTTCTCATTTTATAACACCATTTTAAACTCCATCCCAATGTTCAAAAATATCAAACCAAACATGGAATCCATGAATGTGTAAAGATACTTAACCTCTGCTGCCCCAATTTCTCAGCGACAGTGTGCTGAAGTTGCCCCCATGATCGGCTGGTGTCAGTGCTACAGCTTCCTACAGCTGAAGAATGTTTCAAGCGCTTTGAGATCAGTGGGCTTGATACACAATCATGTAGCGGCCTGCCTGATCATTAGAGAAGCTTCATATTGCTGCAGCTGAAAACCAAGATGGCAGAAGCGTCGCTCTACTTATTTTCTGTTATTGGTAATGTGCACTCAAAACCTAAAAAATGGTTTTGGGTTGAGGTCTTGCTCAGCTTATCTGCATAACTAGGGCCACAAACTATTCATGGCAACAGACTGAAAAATAAAAAATAACAGGTGGTCCTTTACAGTTTCTGTATTGGGCCACCTCTTTTCCAAGAATTCTTACTCTTTCTACAGTAATATTGTTCATCACCATCTTAATAGAACACATATATATAGCCCATGTTGGCTACCAGTGACGTCAACCGGATTGTTCAGTTACTACCTGAAAAGCACAAAGCACATTTCCTAAGGTAGCATCTTCGGGAACACAATTTTGGAAGGTCTACTACTGGTCAAGTATTGCTCTTTTGCCACGCTGTTTGGCCCTACCATATGTGTGGCAGATTTTGTTTGTCGCTACTTTTCCTGCTGTGTATATACAGCACTTCTCTCAGGCTCTGTACCTGGGCTTCGAGCATCCATTAACTCATGGTTTGGTCTCCAGCAGAACTGCACTCCATGATGAGGAGTGCTAACCTTGGAGTGCTGCTTCTTGTGGACAGAAAGGTAACCCTGATGCAGGAAACTGTCTCCACATTCCAAGCAGCTGTACAAAGGCTGTAGGTCATGTGACTTCTGGTGAGCAACCAGATTAGACATAAGGTTATAGCGCCTGGGGCACTCTGTACATTTGTACGTACGCTTGCCGCGGGGTACAACTCCTTTTTCTCTTGCTGTGTCACTTGATTCGGCTTTACGGGGACGGCCTCTTGCCCTCGGCACTGCATACTCTGCAGTTTGACTAGCGTCTATGGAAATGCCCTGCCCTACGTGGCTTTTCAAATGGTACAAAAGGTTTGACTGCTGGCGAAACCGTTTTCCACAACACTGGCAAGAATAAGGCATTTCGCCAGTATGAGTACGCAAGTGGATCATTAGGCTGGTACGCTGACTAAACTGGCGATTGCACTCATGGCAGTGGTATGTACGCTCTCCGGAATGGATCCTCTGGTGAACTAAGAGGTTTGATTGGTGAGTAAATACTTTGTCACAAGCAGGACAGTGGTACTCGGCTTTTCCAACTTCTAGTGATGTGGTATCGTTTTTAGGACTGGCTTCTAAATGCACCCAGGGAGGTGGAGGCCCAGGGGAAGCCTCCATGTTGGAGCTCATACTAGCTTCAACCACTGGCTCTAACCTAGGAATTATTGGCGAACTTGGCAGGTTCTCTGGTGTGCAATTTAGCTGCCCTTGAACTGTGTTTGTCTTTATATGATAAAGCAAGTTAGACTGCTGACGGAAACGTCTTCGACACTGAAGGCAAGAGTATGGCATCTCACCTGTATGAGTTCTTAAATGTACCATCAGACTGGTGCGCTGGCTAAAGTGCTTGCCGCACTCCAAGCAACGGTAAGTCTTATCTCCTGAGTGGATACGCTCATGGACCAAAAGGTTGGATTTGTGGTTAAATGTTTTAAAGCAGCTGCTGCATTTGTATGTCCTTTCAGGTGATGTTGGCGAGTTAGGGGTGTCTAAACTGTTAGATATACACTCTGTACTAGATGCTATATCACCTAGGTGTATGGTTTGAGGAGCCTCGTAGAGCTGACCGTTGTGATGCATGGGGCTTCTATCGAAAGGAAGGAAACCCAAATGAGGCTGAGGCGTGCCCGAGGGCTGAAGCAAACTTAAACCCTGAACATTTTTTCCATTTGGATGTTCCTTATTTAGGATTTTCCTTGGACGTGGTATAAGATCGTCTCCAAGAACATCCTCATGATTTTTGAGGTGCTGAATCAGATTTGACTGCTGTCTAAATCTCTTTTCGCAGAGCCAGCATTGAAAAGGTTTCTCCCCAGTGTGAATACGTAAGTGGACAATTAAATTTGACTTGTTGTTAAAATAACGAGGGCACTTCCAACACTTATGTACTGCTTTCCCACCCAAGAATGCTCCCATATGGCCATGGCCATGGCCCTGTCCTAGCAAGGTTACTTTCCTTGGTCTTCCCCTTCCTAGAACATGGTAAGGCCCTTTAACAGATGTTCCCTCTGAACTGTGACTTGTGACTCTCTGAAAACCAGAACTATGTCCAGGTTGAGGAATAAGGTTGGATTCTAGACTGTTCAATGTCCCCACAACACAGTTGCTTTCTGCTCGAGGAGATAGCTTGAAATGTTGCGATGGATAGCTGTCATGCTCTTGGCGAGGCAACAGCAAATTTTCAGTGTAAGTATGTGGAAGGCTCCTATTAATAGGACATGGGACCTGTATTTCTCTTCGATGCATGACAGTGCTAGATTGTTCCACATGAAGTTTTTGGTGCAGCAAAAGGCTGTGTGAACTCGGGAACCATTTAGCACACTGGGTACACTGAAAGGCTCTCACTTGGCTTTCATCAACTCTCTCCCCACTAGTATTTAATAACTGTGCATTCTCTCGATCTACATACTGTCCAGATGGCCCTATTAGTTGCCCAGAGAGCTTGCCAGGCTGTTCATGTTCTGCAGAGGTGTCCACTTTGGGTTCAATTGGCATCACATGACTTTTCATATGGTAGAGGAGGTTCGACTGTTGGCGAAAAAACTCTTTCCGCACTGTACACAGGAATAAGGCATCTCTCCTGTATGGCCCCGAAGATGCACCATTAAGCTGGTCCTTCGAGTGAAATGTTTGCCACATTCTTGGCAGCGGTAAGATCGGTCTCCTGTATGAATGCGTTGGTGGACCAGGAGGTTGGACTGATGCGTAAATCGCTTGAAACAATGGCCGCAAACATAGGGCCTTTTACAAGAGCCAGTTTCTTCTCCCTTGTCATTTTTAATAAAGGGAACTTTGCTGCCCCATACTTCATTGCTACTGTCATCTGCTTCAGATATCAGATACATAAATGGGATACCAGGAGCTGTGTTCTCTTCGCTCCACTCAGATCCATCAATATCTTCAGTTCTTTGATGACTCTTCATGTGGTGGGTGAGATTGGATTGTTGTCGAAAACTTCTGTTACACTTGTTGCAAGGAAATGGTGCCTCCCCCTGTATGGGTGCGTAAATGGACAGTGAGGCTTGTGCGCTGATTAAATTTTCTCCTACATACATGACAAGAAAATGGTTTTTCACCAGTATGTATACGTAAGTGTGTAACCAGTGAGGACTGTTTGCAGAAAGTCTTATCGCACACTATACAGCGGTATCTTCTCCACTCCAACACAGGTTGTTGTTGAGGATCAGGGCGGGACACTTCATTTCCAATGCCCTGGAACTTCTCCTGATTGTGAGTTTCTTGGTGTTGAAGAAGTTCAGAAAGATCTTGAAAAACAAAATTGCAGAAAGAGCACTGAAAGAGACCCCAGAACCTCTGGTTTGGCTGTTCTGCTGGTTCATTATCTTTTCTTCTACCTGTCTCCATGGTCTTGCTTTGATGGCCAACATTAGACCATCCGTGAGGCCTGGAAGCTACCGCCTCTCCTTTTTCAGGTTTATTAAAGTTGCTTGGCATTGAAGAAACCCCATGGAGCACCAGTGGTGCACTAGCATTCTCTCCTGTTCCAGTAATTTTTGCACCCTGCGCTGCTTGCTCCACAATGTCCTCTTCTCTGTTTCTTGTCTTTTCCATATGAGGCAGTGATGTTGGTGAACTTTGTTCAGCCGGGAAACTATATTCGACTGAACCACTGTCTGTCTGACACACTGGTTCATTGGAGATCATTGGATGGACGGTTTTCTCCCTCCAATGGTTGTCTTGGTCATCTATTTCATTCACAATAAGTGTGGATTGTGTGTTTTGTGAAGTGGATTGTTCTTCGGATATCTTTCCAACAAGGGGAGCAAACGATCTTGGTTCTTCTGTCCTTCCACTGGGCCAACATTCTGAAACTAAATAAAAACAATTAGCTATAAGTGAAAATTGCTTGCTGTTAACATACAGCATCCTATCCTTTTATCCTTAGAAAGAACCAGGAAAATCCCTTTTCACACAGAGATTCTCTAAATTCCATTAGTCAAGCTGCTCATTTTTTGCCCTCCAGGGAGGTTAGAAAACAACCGAAATGTCCCAAGGAATGCTCAATTTGTAATCACTACTGCTGATTATTGGGTTATACAGAAATCTCTCCAAAAGAAAACACAATTCCAGGACAACCCCAAAAACAGCATTACATACTAACATAGAAAACTCTGGACATTTTTATAACTTTTTAACAGAAATCCTTACTTTCCACACGGCTTGCTCTGGCTTGATTATTTTCCTGTCCGAACGGCTCGTCTACATTTTCCATTATCGATAAAACATCCGGTTTAGACATCTGGAAACCTGAGGGACAAGTAACACAAGCTCTGTAAGCTAGGAACTGTTCCTCAAGGGAGTATTTGACTTTGACTTTATCTTCTAATTTAGTTTTTTAGCGTTGTAGTAATTATTTTTTGGTCTATACAGATAGAAATCAATAGCACTTTAGGTCTAATGATCATGAACAATAGCCATGTCTCTGTGTACCTCAAACTAAAAAGTCCAACCAAAAATGATACTGGTTAAAGATGGTAGCGGTGGTGGTTAAGGAGAGGAATGAAATACCTATGCTTCAAGCAAGACAAAGCTGGACTCCATGGTCTAGTAGGTAAGGTCTTTTATATTTTGTGAAAGGGACAAGTGTTAAGAGAGATATTTTTTTTTCCTTTGGGATGGAGGTTAGGCAGAGTTAAAGTGACTATAAATTATATCTCTATTCTCCAAAAACAATCCATCCACTACTTAATGACCTGTAATGTAATTGTTTTTCTGTCTCCCTGTAATGTCCTCCATGAGCTCCCAAACCTCTCCCATTATCCCTCACTTTCAGTTGCTTAGAACAAGTAGTGCACGTTAATTGCATAAATGTGCACTGCTCTATGTACACTACACATCCCATAGTCCATAGACCATCTTGAGCGAGCAACAGAGGGTGGCTACAATCCTACATATAGTGGGACCGCGAAGAACAGATGTAGTTACCCTCTAACAAGAAATTGCTTCACACAGTGGCAAAAAAAAAGGTGAGCGCAATAGAGGGGGCTTTTTGAGTTAAGAATACATACATGTGTGTGTGTGTGTGTGTGTATATATATATATATAAATTTATACACTGTACAGAACATCAGGGATGGGTTCTGGACAGCAGGTATATTTCCCAACTATCTTTGTCGTGGCCACTGGTTTTTAAAGGTAACTTTGAATACTCAGGGGTTCTCACCCATGCAGGGTTGCAAGTAGTCTATCTGAAGAGGACTGATTTTCAGTGCTCTATAAATTTCCAAGTCCTTAATGGGGACCTAGAATTTCAAAGGTTTGAAGAGTTTTGGGAAGGAAGAACCGCCAAGCCTGATTACAGGGACTTTGATCTTGAAGGCATTAACCTGGCTGGCAGAAGAGAGAGAAAGCTGGACACAGCTGAGTGAATTAAGCCTAGGATTGAGCCAAATTTGCTGAACTGTGAAAGCCTTCTCTTTTGGGACCCCTGAAGCAGAGATGAAACCCCCAAAAGCCCCAGCGTGGAACCAGTAGAGTGCCTTTTTTTTCCACTGAACATGGACTATTTTGTGTTTGTTTACTGAAGTAAGCTGTTCTGTTTTTTGGACTGTTTACTTGTTTTGGAGAGACCAATAAAGATTGCTTACTTTTACAAGATGCTTGCTGGTGACCTCAGGGCCCCCATGTATCTATATATTTTTTGTGTGTGTGACTTCAAAACAGAACCATACTTCATCTGAGCAGCACAAACAAAAAATGCTATTTATTTATTTCAGGTACTTGTATAACGCCGTCAATTTACGCAGCGCTTTACATATACAGTCAGGTCCATAAATATTGGGACATCGACACAATTCTAACATTTTTGGCTCTATACACCACCACGATGGATTTGAAATGAAACAAACAAGATGTGCTTTAACTGCAGAGTGTCAGCTTTCATTTGAGGGTATTTACATCCAAATCAGGTGAACGGTGTAGGAATTACAACAGTTTGCATATGTGCCTCCCACTTATTAAGGAACCAAAAGTAATGGGACAGAAAAATAATCATAAATCAAACTTTCACTTTTTAATACTTGGTTACAAATCCTTTGCAGTCAATTACAGCCTGAAGTTGGAACGCATAGACATCACCAGACGCTGGGTTTCATCCCTGGTGATGCTCTGCCAGGCCTCTACTGCAACTGTCTTCAGTTCCTGCTTGTTCTTGGGGCATTTTCCCTTCAGTTTTGTCTTCAGCAAGTGAAATGCTGCTCAATCGGATTCAGGTCAGGTGATTGACTTGGCCATTGCATAACATTCCACTTCTTTCCCTTAAAAAACTCTTTTGTTGCTTTTGCAGTATGCTTTGGGTCATTGTCCATCTGCACTGTGAAGCGGCGTCCAATGAGTTCTGAAGCATTTGGCTGAATATGAGCAGATAATATTGCCCGAAACACTTCAGAATTCATCCTGCTGCTTTTGTCAGCAGTCACATCATCAATAAATACAAGAGAACCAGTTCCATTGGCAGCCATACATGCCCACGCCATGACACTACCACCACCATGCTTCACTGATGAGGTGGTATGCTTAGGATCATGAGCAGTTCCTTCCTTCTCCATACTCTTCTCTTCCCATCATTCTGGTACAAGTTGATCTTGGTCTCATCTGTCCATAGGATGTTGTTCCAGAACTGTGAAGGCTTTTTTAGATGTCGTTTGGCAAACTCTAATCTGGCCTTCCTGTTTTTGAGGCTCACCAATGGTTTACATCTTGTGGTGAACCTTCTGTATTCACTCTGGTGAAGTCTTCTCTTGATTATTGACTTTGACACACATACACCTACCTCCTGGAGAGTGTTCTTGATCTGGCCAACTGTTGTGAAGGGTGTTTTCTTCACCAGGGAAAGAATTCTTCGCTCATCCACCACAGTTGTTTTCCGTGGTCTTCCGGGTCTTTTGGTGTTGCTGAGCTCACCTGTGCATTCCTTCTTTTTAAGGATGTTCCAAACAGTTGTTTTGGCCACGCCTAATGTTTTTGCTATCTCTCTGATGGGTTTGTTTTGTTTTTTTTTCAGCCTAATGATGGCTTGCTTCACTGATAGTGACAGCTCTTTGGATCTCATCTTGAGAGTTGACAGCAACAGATTCCAAATGCAAATAGCACACTTGAAATTAACTCTGGACCTTTTATCTGCTCATTGTAATTGGGATAATGAGGAAATAACACACACCAGGCCATGGAACAGCTGAGAAGCCAATTGTCCCATTACTTTTGGTCCCTTAATAAGTGGGAGGCACATATGCAAACTGTTGTAATTCCTACACCGTTCACCACCTGATTTGGATGTAAATACCCTCAAATTAAAGCTGACAGTCTGCAGTTAAAGCACATCTTGTTCGTTTCATTTCAAATCCATTGTGGTGGTGTATAGAGCCAAAAATGTTAGAATTGTGTTGATGTCCCAATATTTATGGACCTGACTGTATATTGTACATTCACATCAGTCCCTAACCCTCAAGGGGTGTACAATCTAAGGTCCCTAACTTACATTCATACATACACATATTAGGGCCAATTTAGACAGGATTAACCTCCAGCATGGCCAGGAACCTACCTTGTCCCTGTCAGGAGCTTCGTGCCCCGGGGGATGTCCAACCCTTTTGGACAAACACACCCCTAAGTGCACGTTTTTCGTGTGTGTGTTCTTGCAGGACTTTTTTTGCGGACACTTACGGGTTTTTTAGTTATAGTGCACGTTTGCGGACTTAAAAAAAAAAAAGAAAAAATGTCTTTGGAGTGTGGGAGGAAACCAGAGTACCCGCAGGCACAGGGAGATCATGCAAACTCCAGGCAGGTGGTGCCGTGGCTGGGATTCGAACCAACGACCCGAGTACTGCCAGGCGGAAGTGCTAACCATTTAGCCACTGTGCTGCCCATTTAATTCATTTTAACAGGATATGTTCACCTTCTGGCCAAAAATAATAAATACACATTTTTTTTGCAGGTAAAAAAATGTGCATTTATTATTTTTGTCCAAAGGAGCCTGGAAAGCATTGCACCATTGCATCTTTTGCCTAGGACTGGAAACAAGAAAGCAAATGAAGAAATGTAGAAAAAAGTTTAAACTAATTAAATACGATCTACTTTCCTATCTATTTAATAATGCTAGCAGCATAAGGATTAAAAATAGTCAGTATTGATTGAAAGAGTGAAATTCCGCTTTAAAGTGTTACTGAACCACGGACCCTGCCTTCACTATATCTGGTCTCCCACAATAAAGAGAACATGGAAATGCAATCATTTTAGTAAATATAAACTGCTAAATATTATTTTTATTAATTATTTTAGTAAATATAAATGCTAAAATAAATATAAAGTGCTAAATCTCATCAGCAGTTAGAGCAGTCTTGTGACTT